CCCATTTTCACTCTGATTCCACTTTCAACCATTCTGGTCTTTCTCTTACTGTTCATTCAAATGGGCAGCCAAAAGACAGCAACCAAAACCGGAGCACAATATTGCATGGGTAATGGTTGTGCAAACTGAAACCGAAACTGAGTAAGAAAATACAATATGAATGCTAATCTCGCAGTTTTGCCGCGATTTACTTCAGCATACACAATACACCTGCATCTAACTCCATCTAGGAAGAAGAGGACACCTAATCTGCATTATTTTTCGTGCAATACTGAATTTTCGTCTCCATAACAGGCGCGCTGTTCCGGATGGAATCCAGCCTAATGTTCAACAAAATTGATTTCTCTCAACGAGTTTTAGTCAAATGCAAGTGTAAAAGTCACGGCTAAACTATATCAACAGAGAAGAATTCTGTTAGGCTTAATTGTAAAATTAGTACATCGGTGCACCGTTAGGAAGAATTAAAGAAGATAGGTCTATTGTGGTGGATGGTAGACAGTGGTGATGAATAACCAAGCCAAAAGTTTATATTTTTATTTGTTGAAATAATTCAATGAAAAGACCAGGGAGGCGAAGAATTCTTTTTGATTATTCTTTCTCAAGTTTCTGGATTATCATATGACAAATAACATATGCAATTCCTTCGGGTTTTGAAAGAATTTCCTTTGGTTATTCAATAGAGTTGCTATAATGGATTATATGTCGAATAAAAAATGCCTCAACAAAAAAGCGCGATGGCAAGGGTTTATGGAAATAAGTTAGGATAATTCCGTAGTCATTCCAATTAGAAAATATTGCGTTTTCATACTTGTTAACGTTTGTGATTTTCAGATTGAAATTATTTAATCTTGGCAACCAAGGTCAGGCACGTTTACCTGACACTCATGCAGACTAGAAACTACGTAGATCGATGTAGACAATATATAAGTTATTGTCAAAATCTAAAGTATTATATTTATATATTATATGTTATATAGATGATAAGTATAATGAAACTCAATTTTATCATAAAGAAAATATTTTAGTGTATCACAATCGGCCAATGCTGTATGTGTAATAAGAATTCAAATGTTCCTCCAGGGTGACATGTTTGCATCCAACGTTGAGTGCAAATTTACCGACTGAAATTCGAGCATGTGAAACTCCCGCAAGCAAATGGCTCTGCCGGGATTCATTTAGATGGATTTTATAGATGTTAGTTTCTGACTACTCACGAGTAATATAAATACATAACAAATGCTGTCGGTATCAATTTATCCCACGAATAACACGGTAAAATACCCAGATCGAAATAGCGATTCCAAAATTTTAAAGGACCACAATGTTCTTATGCCGCACTTATTGTTTGCAAAGAGAAATTTGTGAAGTTATTTCGAGAACGACTTTCATCAGACAAGTTACCGTATGCAGGAACCATTGTAACGTTACCCTGTGACAAAACCACTCAACTTGACTCTAATGCCTTTACTCTTGGTCATACGGTTATCCCATTTCTGGTACAACGATTTTAAAAAGTACTTTGATGAAGATTTATACTTGCGGTAACATTCTTTTCATCGCCTTTGATGAAAACAGATGAAACTGTTGAAGTTTGGTTCACGTGAAACGAGGCACGATATGAGTGGAACGGATTAGTGCCAGCTCTAAAGGATGATGCGCATCAAAAATATCAACTGACGAGTGAACAGAACTAGCACTTGATCTGTTGCACTAATAAATTCTTGGAAAGATGCTTGAAAATCGAACGCACTTGAAACTTTGCTCGGAACGGCCTCTTGAAGCTTGATTTCTTTTCGAAGCCAATGTTGTACAGCCGAATTTATGGGCGATGAAAAGAAAACACAAATTAATAAAAAGCCGTGAACGAATGGCGCACAATCACTTTTGATCCATGCTGTGCATCGAGAGGAACAAAGGAGAGAAAATAGTAATGTGAGGAGGCAGACTGGTGAAGTTTTGAGATTAGTGTGTTGATGATAAATTACCGACTGATAAACAGTTACTTTTCTACATAGCACGGAATTTAGTATGAATTGTTTGGTAATGTATGAGGTATATGCGAAATCTGAATAGCTTTATAGTTATTAGTGCAGATAAGTTTAACATCGCGTTAAAAAGGGAGAAGAGATCTAAATCTCTGTTATCAACACTTTTGGCCGTGTTCGCCAGGAGTAAGCACACGCAAACACAGTGCCATACAATTTCATTGGTTGAGATAGCGTTACAGGTGTTTGCTAATCGAAGCATTCCAGATTGCACATACGAACCGCAGGCACACAGTATACCACAAAACTCCTCTCTCTCACTAAATGCCATTCTGTTCGAGTCTGTGCAGTGAAGTTGATTGGTTACCGCTTTTTATCTATGTACATCTGCTGTTGTGACCGATCGTTCATTGGCACTCGATAGTATGAAGCGGTGATATAAAAAAATAAACACTCACTGCAAACAGTTTAGATGCTATTAAAAACAGTGGATTGATGAAATGAAAATCTTCTCATGCCCCGACGTGCTTGCCTTCATGGGAATAAAAATATCTGATTACAGATTACTCGGACAGTGGTATTCGGTATTCTTGCAGTTGAACAAAAATCGACAGTATTCAGTTCGGCTGATTGATTAGGCATCCATTTTGTTGGCCTTTTTTGTCATTCTTGCTTCTTTGTTGGTCAATTTTTTTTTCTTGTGGAACACTTCATCGGTCAAAATGAGTTTCGGAAGTTGAATGTTCACATTAGGTAAGCATGTAACAACGAATTGAAACAGGCTTACAGCTCAATCCTATGCGTCCGGCGAAAATCGCACTGCGTTCGAATTATATCCGCTACTCATCACTTGATTGTACAATCTTCTATTCATTTCGAAAAAGTATAATAATAGTATTTCTATCATCACTCGTGATAATAATATCATAATCTAAGGTCATGGATGAGATCAGTTTCGGTAAGATAGATCAGAAAAGAAGGGTACAAGGAATGGTGCAGATCAGTGACTGAAACAATCACTTGCTGCATTTGCCTGCACACATGCAAGTTGCATATTTTGTGCTACCCCGAATACTTCTCAACTGATTTGAGGTCAAAATTCAGGGAGTCTCTCCCAAATGACAAGATGACAGATCACACGTGTCTTAGAACACTAGGACTCACGCCCCAAATTCCGTGAGCTCGAAGATGCACTAGTGAAGTGCATCACAAGAGCTACTTGAAAATGATTTACTTCCAGCAGACAAGAATGAGCTTTTTAGCTAGGCACACTTACTATGTATTTTTTGTTTGTGGTCAACTCATGATTATTGTCCTCCGTTTAAATCATGTGTTCACTCTAATTAGGGGCTTCGTTTCATTGTGTTTTATTACAAAATTTGATTAAACAAAGCTCTCTTGCTGTTGTATGAACGAAGAGTCAGTGATTCCTAAATGTAGTCTAGCACACGTAAGTTAATGAAATACACACACTCATACATACACAAGTTAAATGCCACCTAGTGATCAATAACTTCGACAACACTTGCAAATGGAGCATTCTAAAATGAGTCCAATTGGGTATTGGGAAAAGTTTTGGTTAAGGATTCATACTGCACCGTACTCTACTTCATTCAACAGCACCCCATCCCATTTCAGTTGTATACAGTTAAATTCAAGGAGTTTCTTTCGTAGTATTCTTAGTAAAATATTCCCATTTTTTTGGTTAGAGGGATTTCCAAGGAAGATTGTGCGTTCAGATATGAATGGATAGAAAATCGGCCGCGCAAGAAGGAACACGTTCAATTTCACGGAAGATTTCAATATGAGTATCAATTCAAAACAATATGGCGAACAAGCTTGTTTTCGTAAATTCGTCTCCAGGCCTTTACAGTTGTGTGCGTATTTATATCTCATATAGAAATAAACGTGGTTGGACCATAGAGGTTATGTGTGAAAATGCAACAATGTCTGTGATGACGCAACTTGGCGTGACAAACTTGACAGACATTGTTGTATTTTCACACATAACCTCTATGGTCCAACCACGTTTATTTCTACATGAGATATAAATACGCACATATAACTGTAAAGGCCTGAAGACGAAGTTACGTTCAATTTCCTTTGTTGCATTAAAAATTCGGAAAATGTTTTAAAGCAGTGTAAAATTCCTAATAAATTTTTGTACAAATATCATGTGACTGTCGTCTGCTTTAAAGAATTAATGTTGCGCATAAACACGATGCTCAAATCACCTATTTCACCTACTTCATCTTCGATCATTGATCATGCATGAATGTCTTCTAACGAGCGGAAAC